AGTAGGCGGCCGCCTCGTCCGCTGCGGGCCCCAGCACCTCCGCGCCGTCCAGAGTCCCGTTCGCAAGGGCAGGGATAAAGTAGCACCCTCGCTCCGGACTCCGAGTAGGCGGCCGCCTCGTCCGCTGCGGGCCCCAGCACCTCCGCGCCGTCCAGAGTCCCGTTCGCAAGGGCAGGNAGCACCCTCGCTCCGGACTCCGAGTAGGCGGCCGCCTCGTCCGCTGCGGGCCCCAGCACCTCCGCGCCGTCCAGAGTCCCGTTCGCAAGGGCAGGCTTGATGTCTGGGATCGCGACAGCGATGGGTGTGGCTCCGACCTCTCTCAGGATCATTCCTTGGAATGCGGTGATAGGATTGCCGGTGTAGCGGAGGGTCAGGCCTCGGAAATCGCCGAGCTTGGTAATGGGTTTCTCGAACCACCCGCCCAGCTGCGCGCCGCTCACCGTGCCTGCATAGTACGGCCGGATGCCGAAAGGCTCGTACACTTGTCCCAGTAGCGGGAGAAGTTGGTCTGACGGAGGAAGGTCTCGAACTGTGGGAAGGACATCGCGAAAGGTACGTCGTTCTGGAGGTATTGAATGGTACGCGGATCGACTCCCGTGAGGTTGGCGTAGTTCCCAGGCGGGCCCAGACCGATGGCTCGCCCCTCTCTCACCGCCGGGAACACCTGGTCACGGATAAGGCCGTAGGTGATGTTGGAGATGAACACTCTGCCGCCCGTCTCCTCCTTCAGCGATCTCGCGAACTCCTCGGCCGTGTCCGTCGCCCCTGGCCAAGCTCCCAACGACGAGAGGATCGGGATCCCGATCGACGCGGCTCCCTGCGCATGCGAGATGGGGAAGATGACCGGTCCCGACACGAGGAAGAGAGAGACGAGGAGAGCGAAATGCGCTCCTGCTGCTGCTGCTTTCCCCAGGGAGCTGCCACGTGTCGGCAGAAACGAAAGCCCTCTGCTTGACGCGGCATGTGGCTGACGACGTCCACCACCACCACCATAGCCGCCATAGCCGCCATCTTCTGGCGCTTTTTCGGCCCGGCAAGCTGTCAGCAGCGAGCTGTGGCGATGGCGGGACGGCCTCCTTCTTCGTCCCTCCTCCTCCATGCTTGCCCGCCCCGGTTGACAAGGTTGCACGCTCCGGCGCTTCTGCTTGCTCACGCACTCTCAGCTTCGGTCAGAGGAACCAACTCTCACTGCGGCCAACCACAAACCGGGACCATGTTGAACCCAACCCAAAGGAAAAGAACGTTCCCCAAAAAAAAAAAAAAAGAACGTTCACCGCACACCCCACTTCCCCGCCACCACCGCAAAAAAAAAAAAAGTGACGCGACAAGTTTAGAGCAAAGGGCCGGACTTCAAGCTGTGTCTCAGGGCATACGCACAGTACCGGTAGCACTTTCCAGAATGCATCTGACCGCAGTTGCGACTAGACGTGGATGAATCTGACCGCGATCTGACTGCAATCTGGACATGCAAAAAAGACGAAAATCATGGAGGTGTAGCTTCCATGTTCTAGGGGAAGATTCACTTTCTGCACATTTTGAGAGTAGTGGAGCGAGTAATGGAGCGAGGCCCATCTTTTTTTTTTTGAAGAAGATCATCCAAGCCGGGAAGCGGGCCCGGCGTCCCTTGCAAAAATTTGCCGCAGCCCTGGGCTGAGCGAGGCACTCCGGCCAGGCAAAGCTCATTCCACGGCTGTGCAGAGGGCCACAAACCTTCTTCTCTTAATGTCTTCCACCTTTTCTACTTCAGTACCGACAAAAAGGAAACAAATCCTACATGTCGGCAAACCAGTATACTCAATCACAGAAAAAACCCCGAAAAAAGTAGACAAGGCGCCGGGGGACAATCAACTGTTGCAAGTCCCGCAAAAGCATCCCAACGTGTAGTAAAGTACTGCATCGCCTTCCTTGTAAACCCCTTTCGCTGCACACGGTGCTCCCAGTCAGCCTGTATCGCTTGTTTGATGCCATATTTAACCTCTGCTCGAACCATCGGGGGTCAGTCTCTCTCCACGTCTGATTGCTGAGTTCCTCAACGTCCAAAGAGTCCACAGTACTGCCCCCCTGAGTTTATCTTCCGCGTATGTAAAGCTCTGCAGGAAAGGTGCTTCCTTTTTTTTCTTTTTTTTTCAAATGCCCAACCAATTCAATTACCTGCCGAATGGGAAGGCCTTTCAGACCTCTTTTATTGTCATTATTATAGTTTTATTACGGGAAACCCCGTAGCAGCCACATCCGTGCTCAAGCCTCCAACAAGGGAACATGCGAGAGCTGCACCCACCAGCCATTATTATAGTTTTATTATGGGAAACCCCGTAGCAGCCACATCCGTGCTCAAGCCTCCAACGAGGGAACATGCGAGAGCTGCACCCACCAGCAGGAGCTATACCTGCTACAGCAGGTCCGCGATACCGGCCAGGGGTCAGTCGGTAGTATGGGCCAGTCGCTGTCCCTCCCCTCTGGTCCAACATCAGCAGTTTCTGCTCAATGCCTGTCCGGGGGACCAATGGCCTATCTCTTCGCCGTGTGCCACTCCCCCTATCCTGCTCCCCTTCTCTCTCTCTCTCTCTCTCTCTCTCTCTCTCTCTCTCTCTCTCTCTCTCTCTCTCTCTCTCTCTCTCTC